ACACTGAATCTTTAGATTTTTGAAAGAATAAAAACTCTTAAAATTTTATCTGTGTTGTATTTTAGTAACATTAAACAATTCGGGGCAGTTTCAAAAGAAAAGCTTAAGAATTAACAATGACATATTTACCAGTTTTGTTGACTTGTCTGGCTGATTTTAATAAAATGGCAAAACTGATAGTTATCTGGGAAGGGAAACCGTAATTCAGATATGCATAAATCAGATTGGACCTTATGTAAGTACGTAGGAAAAATTTCTTGATACTGATTTATGTGGGCTCTCTTCAGTTCCACCTGCAGTCAGGTAGTCCTGAGAAAAAGGGAGGATTATAAGGCCAGAAAAAAAGCCAGTAAACAAAATTCTTCCATGGATTCTGCTTTCTTTGATGGCTCCAAGATTTCCATCCTGCTTTATTTTTAGACTTTTCTTCGCTCAGTGATTCACTGTGGGCTAAATGTATAAGCCTGTTACATCCTGTCTTCCTCGTGTTGCTTTGGTTATGTTCTTTATCACCTCAATAGAAAATCAAACAAGACATGGTCCTTTTCTCTGTAAGTGTTGACATGTGTGCATCAAGATTTCATTCTTCACCCCTTATAATCGTTAAGGTTTTGTTCTTGTTGTTCCTTATTATATATTACAGGATCAATATTCCTGAGTGCCCAGGTACTTCTGTCTGCCCAACCTACATATCACTGTAGGAGAACTGGGAATAGGTGTGTGCTCTACTATATCTGCTGAGGATATGGCCATTGTGAGACCTAGTTGATATGTTTAAAATATGGATTCTGTCCCCATTTGAAGTAACCTAGTACTTACAATATTTCTCACACTGTAAGACAGTGTAAAATATAGAGTATGCTGCAGCCCACACAAAACAGAGTGTAATTTGGGACCTGCTGAGACCCAGGAACTTCCTCAAGGCCAGTGGCACAGAGACCATCCTGTCTGTGCCTGCACCTAGTGCAGCCCTAAGGCTTCAGCTCTATACTGAACCCCTCAAAACCCAGAGGAGGCTGGATGCCCAGGAGCTGTAACACATAGGAACATAGAATAATAAGATCACAGGATCTCAGGAGCTAGGGCACACCAGGATTTCAGAAGCCCAAATACAACCTGACTCCCAGGAGCTATCACAACCAAGGTCTCAGGATCACAGGATCACAGAGACAGCTGGACTCTGAGGAGTTCTGACACAGCCAACATAAAAGGACAGACAGGCTCCAGTCAGAGATAGTGAGAAAAGGTAGCACTAGAAATAACCAGATGGCAAAAGGCAAGCACAAGAATATAAGCAACAGAAACCAAGGTTACTTGGTATTATCAGACTCTAGGTCTCCCACCATAGCAAGTCCTGAATACCCGATGACACCAGAAAAACAAGATTCAGATTTAACATCACTTCTCATGATGATGATAGAACCCTTTAAGAAGGACATAAATAACAACCTCAAAGAAATACAGGACAACACATGTAAACAGGTAGATGCCCTAAAAGACGAAACACAAAAATCCCTTAAAGAATTACAACAAAAACCACAAGAAAACAGATGAAGGAATTGAACAAAACCATTCAGTACATGAAAATGGAAGTAGAAGCAATAAAGAAATCACAAAGGGAGACTTTCCCAGAGATAGAAAACCTAGGAAAGAGATCAGGAGTCACGGATGCAAGCATCACCATCAGAATACAAGAGATAGAAGATAGAATCTCAGGTGCAGAAGATACCATAGAAAACATTGACACAACTGTCCAAGAAAATACAAACTGTAAAAAAACTCCTAATCCAAAACATCCAGAAAATACAGGACACAATGAGAAGACCAAACCTAAGGATAATAGGTATAGAAGAAAGCGAAGATTCCCAACTTAAAGGATCAGTAAATATCTTCACCAAAATTATAGAAGAAAATTTGTGTAACCTAAAGAAAGAGATGCCTATGAACATGTAAGAGCCTACAGGACTTCAAATAGACTAGACCAGAAAACAAATTAACCCTATCACACAATATACAAAACACCAAATGCACAAAACAAAGAAAAAGTATGAAAACCAGTAAGGGAAAAAGGTCAAGTAACTTATAAAGGCAGACCTATCAGAATTACACCACACTTCTCACCAGAGGCTATAAAAGCCAGAAGATCCTTGGACAGATGTCCTACAGGCCCTAAGAGAACATAAATGCCAGACCAGGCTGCTATACCCAGCAAAACTCTCAATTACCATAGATAGAGAAACCAAGATATTCCATGACAAAACCAAATTTACACAATATCTTTTCATAAATCCAGCCCTACAAAGGATAATAGAGGGAAACCACCAAGACAAGGAGAGATATTATACCCTAGGAAAAGCAAGAAAGCAATCTTTTTCCAACAAACACAAAAGAAGAGAGCACCACACAATGATAGTGGGAGACTTCTACACCTGACTCTCATCAATGGACAGATCATTGAAAAAGAAATGAAACAGAGACACAGTAAAACTAAAGAGAAGTTATGAACCAAATAGATTTAGCAGATATTTATAGAATATTTAATCCAAAAACAGAAGAATATACCTTCTTATCAGCACCTGAAGGTATCTTCTCCAAAATTGAGCATATAATCGATCACAAAACAGGCCTAAACAGACACAAGAAGACTGAAATAATCCCATGCATCCTATCAGAGCACCACAGGCTAAGACTGGTTTTCAAGAATGATAAAAATCAATGGAAAGCCCACATACACATGGAAACTGAACAATGCTCTACTAAATGATAACTTGGTCTGGGAAAAAATAAAGAAATTAAAGACTCTTTAGAATATAATGAAAATGAGGACACATCACACCAAAACTTTTGGGACACAATGAAAGCAGTGCCAGGAGGAAAACTCACAGCTCTAAGTGCCTACACAAAGAAACTAGAGAGAGCACACACTAGCAGCTTGACAGCACACCTCAAAGCTCTAGAACAAAAAGAAGCAAATGCACCCAAGAGGAGTAGATGGCAGGAAATAATCAAACTCAGGGCCGAAATCAACCAAGTAGAAACAAAAAGAACTATACAAAGAATCAACAAAACCAAGAGCTGGTTCTTTCAAAAAAATCAACAAGATAGATAAACCCTTAGTCAGACTTACCAGAGGGCACAGAGACAGTATCCAAATTAATAAAATCAACTGAAAAGGGAGACAGAACAACAGAAACTGAGGAAATTCAAAAAATTATCAGATCCTACTACAAAAGTCTATACTCAACAAAACTGAAAAATCGGGATGAAATGGACAATTGTCTAGACAGACACCAGGTACCAAAGTTAAATCAGGAACAGATAAACCTGGACTAGATGGTTTTAGTGCAGAATTCTATCAGACCTCCCAAGAAGAACTAATACCGATTCTCCTTAAACTATTCCACAAAATAGAAACATAAGGAACATTACCCAATTTGTTTTATGCAGCCACAATTATGCTCATACCTAAACCACACAAAGACCCAACAATGAAAGCGAACTTTAGACCAATCTCCCTTATGAACATTGATGCAAAAATAATCAATAAAATTCTCAAAACTGAATCCAAGAACACATCAAAACAATCATCCACCATGATCAAGTAGGCTTTATCCTAGGAATGAAGTGGATTGCAGCCTCATGGGGAGAGAGACAATACCAACCAACCAGAGATCCCTGGGTCTTAACAGCCAGCCTGTTTAGAGGGACCCATGTCTCTAGCTGTATTTGTGGAAGAGGATGGACTTGTCAGGCATCAGTAGGAGAGGAGGGCCTTGGTCCCTTAAGGGCTGGATGTCCCAGGGAGGGGGAATTCAAGGGATGGGAGGAGGGTGTGGGTGGATAGGTGGGGTCATACCCTCATAGAAATAGGAGGGAGAATGGGTTAAATGGTTTCTGGGGGTGGGGAAAGGGAGTAACAAGTAAAATGTAGATAAATAAAGGACCAAATAATAAAAAAAGAAAGCAAAAGCAAAACAAGATACCATGAAGTGCAAAATGTTACCCCTCCCCATTACAATTACAGTTTCCTTTGCAGTGTCACTTTTTATCATGATTGTTCACACTATTGCTACATGCAAATGATTTACCCATTGTGTATTCATAAGATTCCTATCCACTATATGTTCCTTGATGTATTTGTGAATAGCTGTGTTGTGGAAAGGCTTTATTACATTTATTACATTTCTAGGGTATCTCTCCAATGTGTAATATTTTCTTATGTAGTCAAAAATGATTGTGATATGCAAATCTTGGTAACAAACAAATTAAACATGTCCTAAGAATTGCCTTTTTGTTATTAGCTTCAATTTAATCATAAGATGAAACTAAGTTCAAATTCCCAGGGCCTGGAGTGGCTGGAGGCTTCCAAATAGTGCCCCAGCTTCAATTATGTATCTTTTGTTTAAAAAAACAATGACTGTCTCTAACAATTTCTTTGTAAATTCGTCTTTTATTCATCAAAACATAACCTCTGTTCCTAATCATAAAAAAAAAACAAGTGGATATGATTGATAAGACTGTAACACCCATATTCTGTATCAGTTGACATAGTAAACTACAACAGGAAGGCCCTTACCTCTAAATCCAGATAGGTGGGAAAATGCAGCTATAACTTGGTACAGACATTTCCGGTTTTCAAACATAAAAGCTCTACAGCACTCTGGCTCACTGTGGGCAGGTGAGTGTGGGGATTGTCACAGTTCAGCTTTCAAGTATGTTCTCTGGCTCTGATCTGTCAGCACCAGGTTCATTACAATAAATTCTTGTCAATTACATTACATGAGTTTGAGTTGTGTTGGATCTCAGAGGACCCCATAATAAAAAGGCTTTACTACATTGCTTACACTCATAGACATTCTCTATAGTATGACTATTTCATGATGATGAAGTCTGTGGAAAAGTGCAAAAACTTCACCACATTGAATACATTCATAGGATCTCTCTCTCTCATGATTATGAAGACTTCTGAAATCTGAAAACTCTTTCCCATATAAATACATTCAAAGTTTCTCTCCAGTATGGATTCTTCCATGATGATGAAGACTACAGAAATGTGCAAAGGCTTCATTGCTTGCATTCATATTTCTCTCCAGTAGAGGTTCTTTCATGTATTCAAAGATGACCATGATATTCAATGATGATGCAAAGACTTTACCACATTGGTTACATTCAAATGGTTTCTCTCCAGAATGTGTTCTTTTATATATTTGGGGACTACACTGATTTGGAAAGGGTTTAACACATTGACTATATTCAAAGTGTTTCTCTCCTATACGTGTTATGCCTTTGTTTATGCGCCAGGAGACCAGTTACGTATGAAAAGGCTTTATCACACTGATTACATTCATAGGGTTTCTCTCCAGTATGTGTTCTATTATGCACTTGGAGACTAATATGATATGCAAAGGCTTTGCCACAATGCTTACATTCATAAGGTTTCTCTCCAGTGTGTATTCTTTTATGTTGTAGGAGATAACTGTTTCGTGCAAAGGCTTTACCACACTGGGTGCATTGAAAGGGTTTCTCTCCAGTATGTGTTCTTTTATGCATATGAAGATGACTGTGATGTATAAAGGCTTTACCGCATTCATTACATCCATAGGGTTTCTCTCCAGTATGTGTTTTTTGATGATACAGGAGACTACCTTGACATGAAAAAGCTTTATCACATTGATTACATTCATAAGGTTTCTCTCCTGTATGTGTTCTTGTATGAACTTGGAGACTGCGTTGATATACAAACCTTTTACCACATTGATTACATTCATAGGGTTTCTCTCCTGTATGTGTTCTTGTATGTACTCGGAGAGCAGTTTGACATACAAAGCCTTTACCACATTGATTACATTCATAAGGTTTCTCTCCTGTATGAATTCTTTTATGCCTTTGAAGAGAACTGTGACGTGCAAAGTCTTTTCCACATTGGTTACACTTATAGGGTTTCTCACCAGTATGTACTCTTTTATGTCTTAGGAGATGACTATTTTTTGCAAAGGCTTTACCACATTGCTTACATTCAAAGGGTTTCTCTCCAGTATGTGTTCTTTTATGCATGTGAAGTACAGAGGCTTTCCCACATTGAATAAACTGAGAGGGCTGCTCTTCAGTATGACTTCTTTGATGCCTGTAAAGACAATGGCAATTGTGAAAGCTTTCTGACATCATTACACTGATGAAACTTTCCATTTGTATGAATAAGTTTTACAATTTGGTCTAATTGTAAAGGACGACATGATGTTAATGAACTATCACTTTGTTTACATTCACAGAGTGTTTTGTATCTTTGAAGCTACTTGGACTAAGAAGAGCATTGATTACATGACTCACACTTACAGCATCCTCTTCACTATGAGTTGTATTCTATGTATACTATGTATGCTATGTATGCTATGAGCCGTATGAGTTTGTAGATGTCCCCAATACAGTTGAAATGTGAATCATTTGTAAACTTGTAGCACATCTAGAAAGTCTACTCAAAGTGGGGAGTACTATATATCTTCTAATTGCATTAGAAGACAGAGCAGTTTGTTGCTTCTTTCTTTTTTATTGTTTTTGTTTTTAATTTTTTTTTTTTTAAGATTTATTTATTTTATGAATGTGAGTACACAGTTGCTGTGATCAGACACACCAGAAGAGGGCATCAGATCCCATTACAGATGGTTGTGCGCCACCATGTGGTTGCTGGGATTTGAACTCAGGACCTCTGGAAGTGCAGTCGGTGCTCTTAACCACTGAGCCATCTCTCCAGCCCAGTTTTTAATTTTTTTATTTATTCATTATATGTAAATATACTGTAGTTGTCTTCAGACACCCCACAAGAGGGTGTCAGATATCATTACAGATGGTTGTGAGCCACCATGTGGTTGCTGGGATTTGAACTCATGACCTCTGGAAGAGCAGTTAGTGCTGTTAACCACTGAGCCATCTCACCAGCCCCTGTTGCTTCTTTCAATATACATCTATATTCTTGTAGCTTATATCCTTTATAACATATGACATCCCTATTAGAAGAAGAATGACAAGTAAAAGGGTTCCAATTTCATTCACACAGTTCAACTTTTTTCCCTCATACAGTTGTATTACAGGGATTAAGGTTTCTCCACAAGAGCATTCTTGAATCTCATAAACTACTCATCTTACTAAACTTAGTTATGATATTGCAAGGTTATGAATGACACCAACTTTGGACATATACTTCTCACCTTCAACACATTCAATATGTATACCTTTCAAAATCTAAGTGGTAGGAGATTAAACACACTGGCAGTTCTCCAGCAGAGCTCTATTGGGCTATGACTTAAATGGTAAGGTCTATTAATGCATTGTTTCTTTGTTTTTGTACTTAGAGGAATAGCTTAAAAACACAAAATAGATACCTGTCAATGACATATATGATTTATGATTATTTAATAATCATATAAAACTTAAAGCAGTGCTTTTTTTAGCCTGTTGCTTATCTTTAAAACTTGCAGGACATACTAAAATTTCTTACAAGGCATATTCTTATCAGTTTCACATGCAAATTACCTTCCATGTCTTCCAGAACTTTGAAAATGTTCTTCAATATTATGGTCTTCCCAAACATACCCTAAAATATAGTACCAGAGACCATATGTTATGCTATTGGAAATTAGGCAAAACTTAAGTTACTAACTTCAGTGAACTTTACAACCATGCCTGATTTATTCGCCTCATTCTTCCTCATTCTCAATTGAAATTACAAGAACAAATAACAATAACAAAGAAACATTTGTTGCTACATTTTAAAAAGTAAAAGGAAATTCATGGTATTACCTATAGCAGCAAGATTCCTATAGGTCTCCAGCATCACATCTTTGTAGAGGCTCTTCTGAGAAGGATCCAGCAAAGCCCACTCTTCCTGAGTGAAGTTCACATGCACATCATCATAGGTCACTCTACCCTAAAATACACAGTACATGTGTACATAAGGAAACATATTACTGAGAACACTGTAAATGTATACTTCATTAAGAATACAGTCATGTAATTTTGATCATTCCTGCACTTAATTCCTGACACAAATGCTCTAATGTAATCAAGACATTTTAGAAGGAAACTGAATCATGAATCAGCTTCACCTCCTGTGTTAATGGCCGTGGTTCCTGTTGGGCTCTGTTGTGCTTCCCATGTGTCTGCCAAGGTTCAGGGAGGCAGAATCGTGGGAATTTGACTGAGCTTCCTCCACGAGACTCTGGGTGGAAGCTGGGCTGAGAGAATCTGCCAGGGCTCTGCCTGGGCGTGGAGAGGTCTCAGCTTGAAATCCAGTGGGGGCAGAGCTCTTGGATGTGGACCCCTGGACAAGAAGGCTTGCGGCGTTCGGCTGCTCTCAGACTCCTGGGCTCCCAATCACCTCTGGGAGCCAAGGAAGAGTTGAGACTGGGGGCGGGCGAGCTAGATCAGCACTCTGCCAAGAGGGGCAAGAAGGAGAGATCCAGCAGAGCCCAATGGGGTAAAAGACTCTTAGTTACCTGGACTAGATTGGCTGGGTGGGATAGATTGTTTGAATTGTCAGCCTCCATGGCAGGAATGCAGAGAAGTCTTCTAGTGGGAGATTAGACAGCTGCAGCAGTGGCAGCTCACTAGTTAAAGGCCTTCTCCACGGTTCTCCAAGGTGGGGCCCCAAAGACATGAGGAAGTTCTTGGGTTTTAAAGGTTTATTGTCATGGACGAAAGTGGATAAATCTAGCTGTACCCTTGTTGCCTCTGTTTAAGCACTGACTGCATCTGAAACTACCTAGTGTATTTTTTCTCTACAAACACTTTGCATTTCTTTCTACCCTACTTGTTGCTTTTTTTTTCCTACTGTAGTTCTGAATGACTCAAGGTAAGAACGATACAGAAGCTTCAATATTCCAACTAAGAAATCAGGCCATTATCTTTTAATTCTGCCCTACGCAGTTCCTCAGGGCATGGGGAAAATAAGAAACATTTGTGGCCTAAATGGCAAACATGATCTCCAGCAAAGATTTTCATAGTGTCTGTTTCCCACTGAATTTCTATGACATCATCTTCCTCTGTCTGCATCAGTCTCAATACTCCAATCTTCCTGAGTCCTACATGAACAGGCAACTGTTCTTGTAGATATATATACAGCTTTCTATGGCTTTGGCCAACTCAAGCCTTATGTTTCCATATAATGCTGAAGGAAAATGTTCCCAGGTTTTGCCAAGCATCAAAATCCCTTTGTGTGTACCATTCTTTGTTCTAACTTGCTACTCAGGTTGCTACTCAGGGATATTGTCACACTCAATGGAAGTGCCTTCCCATATCAATCATCAGTAAACACAATTTCTCAAAGACATTGCCACTAGCCATTACAATGGGGTGGGGGAAGGGGCACACCATTAATTGGGCCTGCCTCAGATGACTGGATGCTCTAAAACATTGAAAAAATAAGATAATTAAGACAATAGTGCATGAGAATGTTTTAATGTCCTAAACCAATGTGTTAATCACACCAATCAATTAAGTAGCAAAACCACAAATACTGATTGTTACAACAACTGAAAAAAAAATAGATTTGGCAATAAATGAGGAGAGGTAAGTCATTAGGATTAAGCAGAGAAAATGATTTCTCCACAGAAAGTCTCTAAACCTTCAAAAACTAAAGGAACTCATAATACATTAAATTTTCAGAAGACAAAATCAGTGAAATGCTAGTATTTTTAGATTACAGTTAATAATATAACACAACATAAACGGCACCACTGATTGAGGTAGACACAAAGACAGACTTACAATACAGCACAGCCTTTTAAACAAGAAGTACAGTACTACACTCAAATTCAAAAAAAAATCACTGGCCAACACTAACCTCGTGGGCTCTGGTACTCTCCTATACTAATAACAGAAAATATATTGGGCACCTATTTTTTAAATAATATGAATGTATCAACATTGGAAAAAATAATGTTGATTACTAAAAGTATCTTCTCCACTTGTGATAAAGAAATGCCTGTGTTTTATGATCACTTAGAAATCATTTGTTTCCTATGACTAATCACTGCATACAAGTCTGCACCAATATGAGGAAATGCAAACTTTTAAAACCAAATGCAAGTAAGTAGACTTTTTAAAAACAGACCATGCTTTCTACAATTAGGCTAAACAACTTGTTTTAAGCTAACTGCTGTATAAGTCATAAGGACTTCTGAAAGGATTTATACTCCATTGGATCTCTAATAGTAGGTAGGTAAGAGCCTACCAACGTGGGTTGGCTGCTGTTATCTGAACTCAGGGCAACCCCAGAATAAATACTTGCTGACTGACCTGCCCACCCATACAGAACATTTTATGAAAAATAAGCAAACGACCTTTCACAGATAAACAACAAAAACCTAAGTAAATATAGAAGCAAATAAACGAGCCCTGAGAATCTGATGCCTCAGTATTAAGCACTGGTAAGGAACTAGGTAAGATGTCTCCAGACCATCCCCACGGTCTGCTACCTGAGACCAAATAATCAAGGTTGCTCTTAGGACTGTAGCTTTCCTCTCACATGTCCATCCCTCCTATAGATACAAAAGAGCATTTCCATCTTCCCTTCTCTTCCTGTGCCACCTCTATGTCTGAGCCCTCAACTATGGGCAGAAACTCCTTGCTGAAAAACAGGCTATAACTGCCAGAAGACTAGGTACTCTGTCAAAAGACTCATCCCACTATCTGTTACGCCAGACCCAATTCTCATAGTTGCTAAAGCACTGCAACACAGTATAAGGGAAAACTTCCTGTTCCAGTTTCCATGGTCCCAATAAATACCACAGATAACCCCCAAATGCCCTTCTTTTCCTGCCCTATCTCTGTGTCCCAGGTCCTGCTCAGGAGGACACACCTTCTCAACCATGTGCTATGCTTTCCAGAAGACCATTTAGGCAGTCCATAGATCTGCCACACTATCTGTTACCCTAGATGTAATTTTCAGTTTTCCACAGCACTGGACTAGAACACAAAAGGCAGTGTCCCCTATCTTCTGTCAAGTGTCTGTTAAAATTACTAAGATCATATTTTACTTGAGTCTTTTTCCCACAACCTCCAAAACCAGCAAGCATTTCCTACTGAAACACACCAAAAAACCAGATTCATTAAAAAGGCAACACTCAGTCAACATACTCTCTGAAAATCCAGAGAACCAACAGAAACCCAGATCAAAACTCCACCCCAAAGCAGACAAACCCAGGAGTCAGAACCTAGGCCTATAATGACAGCAAACCTGAAAGTCTAGGCAACAGCTTAGAAACATAATCACTGACATCAAGGAAAATATATCACCAACAGAACAAAGCTATTTTGCCACTGCAAGTCCTGAATATTCCAACATAACTGAAAGCACAAGAAAAAGACCTTAACAGCAACTGTTTGAAGGTGATAGAGGTCCTTAAAAAAGAAATGGATAAATGCAAACACAAACAACAGACAAGACCAAGAAATTACATGAATATAGGAAGAAAAACAGGTAAACAGTTGAAGAAAACATAATTGTTCATGACATAAAAATGGAAATAGAAAATATAAAGAAAGCACAAAATAGAGGTTCTGCCAGCCCCCACACCACACCATTGCAGATTTCCATTCAGTCTTCTGGCCCTCTGGGCTTCATTCCTATCTTTCCCCAATAACTGAACATGAAACCATTTTTCCCTCTTCCTCTCCTCTCACACCGTGATGCTTCCCTCCGTCCAACCCTCCTTTCCTCTGCCCCCCCATGATAAATTTGTTCCCCTTTCTAAGTGGGATTGATGGATGCTCATTTGGGTCTTCCTTCTTGTTAAACTTCATACTGTCTGTGAGATGTACCATAGGTATTCTATAATTTTGTCTAATATCCACTTATCAGCGAGTACATAACATGCATCTCCTTTGGGTCTGGGTTAACTGGCTCAGGATATTTTCTAATTTGATCCATTAGCCTGCAAAATTCATGATGTCCTTGTTTTTAATAACTAAAAGTTCCAGAGATGTGGGATGTTAGAGGCTTCTAGATCAAAATGCAGAACAGTGGGGATAGGGAACCTGAAAAGATCACCTCCAGTACATAGACAAGGTCCCCAGTGTTGGGATGGAGGCAACCACTTATCTTCAAAATTTTTGACACAGAGATGCAGGGACAACATGGAGCAGAGACTGAAGGAAAGGTTATTTAGTGACCTACCCAAATTGGGATCCCTCCCATGGACAGGGACCAAACCCTGACACTATTACTGGGGCCATATTGTACATACAGACAGAAGCCTATCTATTATGGCTGTCCTCTGAGAGGCTCTACGAGCAGCTCACTGAGACAGATGCAGATACTTATGGCCAACCATTGGACTGATCTCAGGACCAAGATGCAAGGGTTAGTGGAAGGAATGGAGAAGGTGAAGGGGATGACAACCCCATAGGAAGAACAATACTATCAACTAACCTGGAAACCTCAGAGCTCCCAGAGACTAAGACATCAACCAAAGAGCATACATGGGCTGGTCTGCAGCCCCAGACACATATGTACCAGAGGACTGCCTGGTCTGGGGTCAGTGGGAGTAGATTTGCCTAACCTGTAGAGACGTGATGTCCCAGAGAAGGAGCATGTGCTAGGAGGGTGAGGTAGTGGAGGGTGGGTATAGAGGGTATGTGTGAGTTGGGGAGCATTCTCTCAGAGGAAAAGGGTAGAGGGGATAGGATGAAGAACTGTAGGAGGGGAACCACTAGGAGGGCAACATTTAGAAGGCAAATAAATAAAATAATAAATAAAAACGGAAAAAATATTTTTTCAACAGGAAAAATATGACACGTCTCTGTTTATTCAAGCACTACGATATGATGTCCCTC